TGTCACCTTCGCAATTGAGAATTTGGTGCTCGCAATTGCGATAATTGAGCACCAGAAAACAAGCAGTTCATTTTCAGTTCAAAACCATTTTACATGTCCGGAACTCATCCGAGCCCTCGGGGCTCCAAACCAAACATCCATATAAGTCTAAAAACATCATACAAACTCGTTCGCGCGATTAAAACACAAAAATAACATCTAAAACTATGAATTGAACTCTAAAATGTATGAATTTCAAAATAAAGTTCACGAATATCTAGAATTACAATTAAACGTCTGAATCCTATCAAATCGAATCCGAATGGTATCAAATTTTGCAGACAAGAGTTAAATAGTATAACAGACTTATTCCATGTCCCAAAATTAAATTCTGATCTAGATAGCTAAAAGTCAACCTACAGTTAAACTTTTCAACTTCAAATTGCTAAATTTCGGCAAAGCAACACAAATCGACCTACGAACTTCTGAAATCAATTTCGGGCATACGCCCAAGTCCGAAATCATGATACGAAGCTATTGGAGCCATCAAAACATAGTTCCGGGGTTGTTTTCATAAAAGCCAAGGTTTGATCAACATTTCTAATTTAAACTTCTAAGTCAAGAATCAAAGGGTCAAACTCAACCCAAAAGCTTTCTGGAATGAAACTAACCGACCCCGCAAGTCATAAAATCATAAACACACATGTGTGAATCATAAAAAGGGGTAACGGGGTGCAATTATACAAAACGATCAATCGGGTCGTTACACAACATGTATACATTATACACTGCGTATATACACAGGTGAACCTGGTTAGAAATATTCTTCTTCCTAACACTGACCATCTTACTCCTCCATCTCTCGTCTTCTCTTAATATTCCTCCTAAAAAGTGTCCACACATTATTAGATGGTCGAGTCTGAGCCATCCTAAGTGAGTCGTGTGGATTGTGTGAGGTAAGATTTTGGTGTACTTTGTTCCATCCTTGTTAGTCTAGAACATGTCCGGTGTGTGAGTCGAAACGAAATGATTAAGTCTTGTAAGTTTGGAAAGTGATATAGGTTTTCTTTGATTGACCATTTACCTATTTACCTACTAGTGCTAATATTATTGTAGTCAACCCTTTTGAGTATGTAGACCTTTTCTTTGGAAGCCACGTTACAAGTCGAATCCCCTTTATTCTTGATCAAATCTTTTCGAACCTTTATCTCCGAAAGCACTTAAGTAACTTGAAGAATAAAGAATGAGATTGGATAATTTGTGATTGAAACTATAGAAAAGCCGAAAAGGTGCACGTTTGTATAAACAACAAAAGGTACAAGCCGAAAATACCAAATTAAGGAGAGCAAAAAAAGTAAAAAAGAGAAAAAAATGAATAACACATCCCATATCTGTGTCTGGGCTAGTAAGTATCGATATGTTTATGTGCTTAATGAAGAATGGCCTAAATGTGTATGGTTTCATGGTATTACATTGAAGTGGTCATGACAAGAAGGTGCTTAGAAGTGAAGTGTAGTGTATTAAAGTACTTTGGAGGGTTAGTCACTACTTTCTCAAATATATCCTACCTGTTCCCTTAGCCTACATTACAATTGATAAAGTCCTACTTGATCCTAGACTTTGCGAGCTTAAATTAGTAGAGACTTATACTACGGGAAAGCCCATGGAACGAGCTTTGGGTGGCATAAGCGTTTATTTGTAAGAGTGAGCAAAATCTTTCGATCTGAGAGTCCTTAAAATATACTGGAACTTATATTTGAGTCTGTGGACTATTTTCTCTATGGTTTGTTGGTGAGAGCATATGATTTGCAAAGGAATGGTGGAGACCTTGGTTTTTTTTAGTTGGAACAAAGAGTGAGTCATAGTGTGGAACGCATTAGAGTCAAGTTTTGTGGCGAGGACATTAGAAAGAGCCACATGAATATTTTAAATGATTTTGGCATGAGTCTAAAACTTGAGAAAAAGTATGAAGAGTGTATACGTTGGGTTTTAAACGTTGATCTAAACCATTGTCATTGATGTCATGTTTAAGCAGTAAACTTGTTGGTAATAATAAAATTATGTACTTCCATTACGTTTTTTAGAGGTGAAAAGTCATTTCTTGATTTCTACCAAAGAGAAAGTATGTGGAAGAACGGATCTCATGGCTTCATATTTTCAGTTAGTAATTTAACCTTAATTTAACACAAGCACAATCAAGAAAAATCCTACAAAACAGGAAATCATCCAACTGTTAAGGCAAATCTCCAACAAAAAGTTTCAGAAAATACCTATAAATAGCATAATCAATAGCATAACCAAATCGTCCCAAAAAAAGAAACACAAAGCAACAAGCACATTAAAAAAAAGTAATATCAAGCGAAAAGCGATTAGCGAAACGTCAAAAAAAATAAAAATAAAAATGGAATCATCAAAGAAGCTTGTTGCAGTGTTTCTTGTGTGCATGGTTATGTTATCATCATCTGTGCTTGTTTCCAAGGCTCATGAACACGAAAAAAGTAACGCAGAAATGTTTAAAGAAGCTATTCTAAAGACTAATGCTGAATACACAACTTGCTTCAACATATGTGAAAAGACATGTATTGCTCAAGGTCTTGGATACACTCATTGTGAGATGAAGTGTGACAGCGGCTGCAACGCCAAGTTGCTAAAAGGTATATACACTAACAGTGTAACTTTAACACGTGC